AATTTATATTCTTCCACTCATTATTGTTCTCCCTTTTTCAAAAATTCTTAGTCTGTGCTACCTTCTGTTTGTTGAACAAATATGCAGTATTCTTGTTCCAGACTTATTTCGTGGGGATCCATGGTCAAAGGACCGGCCTAAGGCCATGTTTGAACGGTGGATGGCAAGCCAAGATGCCCAGAGGATTGCAAAAGACATTGCCACCTCAACGAAATGGTTGGTTGATGAATTTATGGCTGCAGGAATTTCAAAGAAGCTTGGTATAATTGGTTTTTGTTTTGGGGGTGGCCGAGTCATAGAGGTTCTAGCTCGGGATCAAGGTTCTTGTTTTGGCACTGGGATCTCCTTTTATGGAACAAGGATAGATCAATCTCTAGCATCTAATGTCAAGGTACCTGTCTTGCTCATCTCAGGGGATAATGATCCTCTTTGTCCAGTTAGTATCTTAAAGGATATTGAGAAGAGGATTGGCGGGGGATCCAGGGTGGTGATTTTTGAGGGAAGAGGTCATGGGTTTGCTCATCGGCCTCTTTCTCCGGAAGAAGATGTAGATGCAGAACAGGCTTTTACAAAGATGAGAAATTGGCTGCACGATGGTTTGGCTGTAAACAATTAAATGCTTTGTATGTTTATTACAATCTTAATGTATATTTCATCTTACTGGTAATGCAGATATTGCTACTAGTAGTTTATCATTACTAAGTGCAATATTTGATCTTATGGTTCAACTATTTACAGCATTCGTATTAGGACTGTAAACGAGCCGAGCCGGCTCAGCTCGACTCAGTTAGAGCTCGACTCGGTTATTATTTAGTCGACTCGGTTTGTTAACCGAGTCGAGTTCGAACACAGTGAAGCTGGGCTCCTGGGCTCGTGAGCCTGGTCCAGCGTAAATACTGTGCACTTACGCAGGGTGCTTTAGTGATTTTTTAAACCATGAGGTATTAAATTGACATTTTTCAGTGAAAAAAGTTTAAAAAAATGATAGTTTCCCCCCCAAAGTGCAAATTCGTATAACACGAATACAGTCAATACACCAGATCAATTTCAAGACTCCTGACAACCCACTTAAACTTAATTACTTTACTCCATTCTCTAGGGACCCAATTCTTATTTCAGCCTAATTTCTCTCTCAATATCTCTGCTAATGTCACCCATATTTTCTTCTGATTTTACCTTTCTTTACTGCTTTTTTAGCAAATTTTTATTCTTTTTTTTTAATCCTAATCTTTAATGGAAAAAATCCAATCTTTACTCAGAAGTCACCAAAAATGAAAGTGCTTGGCAGGAGTTACTGGATGGGGTTTCTGTGGTTGTAATGAATGTATGGTGAGATTGGTTGAGATGCTTCAAAGTTTGCCTCTTTTGTTCTTTTTGAAGCATACCCATTTGGACTTTGGTGTTTTTCTGTATTGCCATTGTGTTTAATTTGCTACTTTTAAGGAAGGTAGAGAAGGAGCATGAAGTTTGCAAAGTGGGATTTTGCTTTTGCGTTTAAAGGATTTTGGGTGGGTTTTTACTTGATATGATTCTCTGTTCATAATTTTTTTTTTTTTTTGGGTGGGTGACCTCGAGCCTTAACGAGCTCGAGCTCGATATTGGGCTCGCGAGCCTTAACCAGCTCGAACTCGAGTTCGACACTGTATTAAACAAGCCGAGCTCAATAAGTCAAAAGCTCAGCTCGACTCGGTTCGTTTACAATCTTAATTCGTATTAGGAAAGAATTATTAGTATTGTTTAAGACGAAAGTCCAAATCTAGGTTAATATAGTATTTAGAGTAATACTAGCCTTACAAAGAAGCATACAAAGAGCCATACAAAGAGTCAAATCCAACCCTTAAAATTCATGATTACCTATTTCTCTCTCTCTTTTTCCCTTCTTTCAAAGGCTGGATTTGACTATTTGTATGGCTCTTTGTATGCCTCTTTGTAAGACTAGTATTACTCTAGTATTTAATATGTGATGTGTTGAAGCTTCATAAATGAATGAAAAAGAAGTTTTGCAAATAGTATTCCAATGCCAATCAACCCCTTCATTACAAGAATTAAGAACAATTCAGGAACATTTAAAGGAGTTTGTAGAAATTAACTACGAATTAACAAAAACCACATAAGTTAGCATAAAACATTCCAGCTTCTTAAAAAGCAATAATTACACCTGATTAGACTGGATGGAAGAAGAGCAAGGAATTAATAGAGAAATATCGATGGTGGCAAGTAAATCCAAATAACTGACTAGTATCTTTTGAGGTGTGTCATGCTCTACGTAAGTAAAATTTGAAATGCAACTATTTTATGGCCGAACAATAGACCATAGATTATTTAAGTAGCAAATGCAAGATGAACATAAATTTCAGTAAAACTCACAAATCTCTTCTTTAAAAAACCAGTACTTGTACACAAATTACAATTCAGCAGCACAGTTCAGATATAGGTTTGGAACTTATAAATGAAGTTGAATCTCCCTGATCTTCAGATGGTTGTGCTGAAAAATCATAGGCATCACCTCCAGATACTTTTTTGGCAGTTGAAAAGAATCCAATTTCAGAGAACCAGAAAATAAAGTTATGCAGACAAATGAAGAGCGCAAATTATCATAGGAAACGGGACAACTAACTGAAAAACTAAACAGTCATTTCAAGATCGAGTAGGAACTTAATAATTGAGATGGAATGGCTAATGCAGAATGGTTTTTCTTGAAAGCATCATGTGGTAGTTGGAACTTGAGAGAAAGGGGTTTCTTTTCAGAACCCATTGATGGGTTAGTTGTCCAGCTTCTTCAAACTAACCATAAGTCTTTATGCTAGCTTAAACTGCGTTTATAAAGCTATGGAGAATGCAGAAACTGTTCAAACTCCGTCAAGTGTATGCCATGCCTCCTAAATGTTGATGCATCCATTCACGAGTACAATGCTCAAGGCCAGCGGCCTGCTATAGTTTTGTTTCTACAGTTTACACTTTCTTACATTACCATTTAAGTCGGAACAATAAATCCAATTCTCAGCTCTTTTTATCATATCAAGTCGTTCTACTGAAATTTAGCCTATAAATATTTATCAATAATAAACCCACATTAAAAAAAGAAAAAAAATGGGTGTGTGGCAATCAAACTGCCCCATAGATATGAGAAATGTGCCATTTATAAGCCTAAATATCAATATCTACCAAAAATTCCCACTTGAAAGAGGAGAATGAAAGACTAAAGCATCTGAAATGGGAATACTTGGTATGAAAATAATAGTTTAGTACCTGGATAACCATTGGTGCGGCCCCCAAAAGGCGATTGTAAGTTTCAAGCTGTTGCAGAGTGTTAGCAACAGAAGGGTTATGACGATCACTTACTGAAGCCTGAGTAGGAACCATAAAGTAATCTGACGACGACAAAAGGGCATTTACATGGTTAAATGTGGATCCATGTGTTCCAAACAAGCATTATGCAGTTACCTAATCAAATAATTATTAATTATAATACAAATGGTATAGAAGAAGATAAAGAAAGAGAGAGAAGAGAGGGAAGGCACCGCAAAACCAGTGAGAGCAGTTGGCTTGACAAGAAACGTTGAAGTTTCCAGGCAAACCGAGCAAAAATCATTCTCCGCAGGTCCATCCATTCTTCTTCTTCTTCTTCTCTTTCTTTCTATCACTACCAATCAGATCTACCTTTCTTTCTTTGGTTAAATCACACCGTTTCTCACAAATTTCTTAACTAACGGCATTACGGCAAGGATCTCTATAATAGTTTCCACAGTTTTGTGGTCTAATGAATTTCCAGAGTTACAGGGTTTGGGTGGATAAACCCAATCGTATTAAATTGGCCGAACGAATGCACCCACCCCTAGTTTGCTATAAAGACATTGGGTACCCAAAAAGTTTGAAAACGTCAATTACCTACCTTTCGTCCAAATCTGTTAGTAAAATCCATTTAAAGAAAGATAATATGATAATTTTATATCCACAAAAAAAATATAACATTCTGCATTGGTCACGTGTCCATTTTCTCTCTTTAATATTAATTTATAAAAATCTTCCTTTTCAATTTTAATTATTTTATTTTTATAATTAATTTTAATTAAATTCCGTCTTCATCTTCTTCGTCTCTCGCCAAAACCACAGTCGCCGAACCAGGACAACAACCAGCAAAAACGACCAAAGCCCCAAAAAAACCTCACTCAAATCACCAAAAGATTCAATGCAAAAAATCCCCAAGAACCACTCTCAAACACTCAAAAGAGCCAAAACACAGCAAGGCATAGAAGGGTTGGGCAAAACCTCAAACAAGTGGTGTTCCAAAACTGGAAAATCAATCTCATTCCAAAACCGATCAAAAATCCCCAAAAATCAAACAAAAACACAGAAAAACACTCCCAATTAATCTCCAACCATCAATTTCCCATTAGAAACTCCGAAAAACATCAATCAATCTCAATTCAAACAACAAAACCCTAGGAATTCAATCGACGGTGAAATGTGAGCAACGGCGATGGGAAAAATGGGGGTTTTGGTGATGGCACACCGAAAAGACGATTGGGGGGGAGAGGAAAGGTTTTCGATGATCAGGCTTTCAGAAAATGGTGGGGAAGTGCAACAGCTTGCAAAAGACCCCCCTTTTTTTTGCCCTTTTATGAGAGAGATGAAGAAGATGAAGACGGAAGAGAGAGAGGAGAGAGGCTTTCGATCTGCCAGCTCTAGTCCATTTTCCGATGTCGGGTTCTTGCCTGGTGACCGGAGGAAAAAGAGGGAGAGAAAGGAAAGAAAGAGAAGGGAAGAATAAGAGAAAGTGAAGAGAAAAGAAGGGGGAGAAGAAGAAAAAGATAAGAGATTTTGACGGATTTTTTTAATTTTGATTAATGTAATTTTTTTCAACTTTTTTTTATTTTTTATGCACAACCTTAAGACATAAAAAGTCAAAATTACCCACAAAAATGATAAAAATATCGATAATACCATTTTAGTTAACAGATTTACTAACGGATTTGGATAGAAAGTTGGTATTTGTCATTTCAAAACTTTTTGGGTATTAATTTGTCTTTACAGAAAACTCTGGGTAGGTGCATGTCATTCCCCTATTAAATTAATCTATACACACATTTCAATCATATTAATTAAATTAGCTGAGATTTGGGTTTTTACGGTAAACCCCCTTTTTCTATAGAGTTTTTTAAAACCTCTAGTATTTTGATACGACCTTAACCGCTATTTCTTAGTTTCTTCGTTAAATTTAACTGATATTGAGGTATATGGATATTTTTAAATTATAGAAAAGGTAATTTCGACTTTATAGCTTTAAAGAATATTAAATTCTATCCATCTAATTTTCCAATTCATTCCTATAATGCAAAGAAAAAAAGTAAATAAATAACAAATAAATCCACCGGCTACACTAAACCCACCCTAAACTCTCGAGAAGAAAGAAAGCATTGATCACAGTCCAACCACACGTTCTACTAGTGTTTGGGCTGGGCCAACTATCCGTAGTTGTGGCTCAAGTACCCGTACTAGTAAGATAGGATATCAACCGCCAAATTGTGTGAGCAAGAATGAGTTTTTCATGTTCCTTCTTTCTCAATGCTACCTTAAAACTTGCTACTCCTCACCTCTGTCCCTTTCTGCTAAGTCTATCTCCAAAAAACGACTCCGTTTCTCCTCCAATGCAACCTCCC